GTTGAATAGATTATGTTTGCTCACCTGATGTGGGAGGCATACTATACACTTCTAAAAGCGGTCTAAAATGTAACACAGGTTTCAAAAAGCTGTTTTTTAAAACTAGGGCTATACCTGTATATTGCAATTGTGTATATTCCTCATCTTTACAGCAAGACTTTCAGAACCACTGCAACCCCCACTGCAATATACCTGATACAGACATGTGGTCACACACACACAATCTCAGAGAATGCAGAATTCTTGCTCTGGGAATGAGGATGAATGGTTGAAGTTTTTCTGATCAACTCATGTTAAACATACAAGAAAGTGTACTGAAAGAAAGGTGCACAGTGGATACCAGCAGCTCTGGAACCAAGTTTTACCCTTGTTTCTCTGAGCTACAGACATAAGTCAGTCGTATAACCTGAAACGGAACAAAAGAATGTTCCTTTATTTCCCAGAAGCACTCAACACTCAAACAGCATCTGATGTTAATAGGAATTATGCTTTAAATATATGTAACCCTCACTTTCCTCCTCAGGTAGTCAAAGTTCAGTTTTCCCAACAGCTAAATGTGTATTTTGGAAGAAAGGCAAACAGGGGCTGACAAACCAAGCTAAGTACCTTTTGGTGCAGCCATGCTTTAAAAACAAACAAAAACTGGCACCTCCCCCTATGCACTCATCCTCCCCATCAGGGAATGCACACAATGCTCCTCTTCATATACACCACAGAACCAAACCACACGTGCTATTCTCCCTGTGCAAAGTTCCCAGCCTGCTCTTCTAGAAGACACCCTGCACCAACCTCTCTCCCTCCTTTCTCTTAGAGCTACCAAGTACTTCTTTTGCTGCCTGCAATTTTTAGCAACCTCTGCCTGAGTACAAATCTGTCAGCATTTACTTCACTTCTTAATGAGTGATTTCTCATTTTAACCATCGACAAGGAGGAGATGTACGTGTTGCCCTAACTTGAATGAAATGCAGCTGCTGTACCTACCCAGCACACCCAAGATTCCCATTGCAGTTTTGCTCACCAGCCAAAATTGATTAAAAAAGCCATGTGCTCAAGCTTGGAGCTGGAGATCAAAGGGCATCAAGAGACTGAGAAACAGCTATAGACAGCACAGCTTACTTTATATAGCTCTTCTTCTCCACACTGCCCGAATAGGCCACTTTTTAGACTGGCAAGCACAAGAATGCAGGCAGGCTCAGCCCCAGGCCGGCAGCTCCTCCCCCGCTCCCACCTCGCACCCGTGAGCCAGCAGATGCCGCTACAGACCGCCCGGCACTGCTGCGAATGCACGGCTTTTCTCCCCTCCTATCCCAACACAAAATCCAACTCCAGCATTTTTCTTCCACCTCTTAATTTCACACCTCCCATACGAATTATTTCGATGAAGACCAGTCCCCGCAGGAACAGGTTCCAGCAACGAATCGCAACCTGCAGGCTGCTGCACACAGACATTTAGCCAAATGACGGCCTCGACTACTGCTGTGGAACCACATTTCTTCCCCCAAAAGTTTCTCTGGGACACTTCAGAGCACGTGGTCCTTTCATTCAGCCAGAGACCATCCTCAGGTTCCCTACTGGCAGTGCAAATGGCTGGGGATCACCTACAGCCCGCAGCAGGCAAATCCAAGCTCCTGCACGGTTTCCAGCAACACGGTATCTGCATATATGCTTGGCAGAGCAGAATCCCAGTTACAAACACAGATTTCAGTTTGCCGCTCACCACTTTGGTGTTCTTCCCATTTTTGGTAATTCATAGGATGGCTTGGGTTAGAAGGGACCTCGAAATCATCCAGTTCCAACCCACCTGCCACACACAGGATTGCCACCCACTAAATCAGACGTAGATTTATATCCAAGTAATACGTACCATGCTTTTTTCCTATATACAAGAGGGGGGGGGAAAAGGCACTATTAAGAGTTTTAAGAGCTACCCATACAAGTGTCCAAATAGATATTACCCAGTGAAAAACTGATTTTGGAAATCCATCAACAAAAGGTCAACTTCAGCTATTTCAGAATCACGGAATCACAGAATCACGGAATGGCCCAGGTTGGAAGGGACCTCAAGGATCATGAATCTCCAGCCCCCCTGCCACAGGCAGGGCCACCAACCTCCCCATTTAATACTAGACCAGGATGCCCAGGACCCCATCAAACCTTGAACACCTCCAGGGATGGGGCATCCACAACACTCTGAGTGAAAAATTTTCCCCTGACATCTAAAAAAAAACCCTGCTGCAGGGAGCTAAAGTCTAAGAAAAGCCCTCTTCATGTTTTTGGTTCATAATGAAAAATTAACTCAGTTTACCTGCAAGATCATCAGATTTTAGTTCAGTGCTGACTGCTGTTTGCCTATTCCTAACTTTACAACTTGAATGCAATATTACCTTTGTGATATGCAGTACTAATGTGGCATTTTCTCCTTCCTGAGAAAGCATGTTGGCCAAGCCTACCAGCTCGGATCAGCAGCCCAGCCACCTGAAGCAAACAGCAGCAAGTGTTGCAGGTGCTCATTCAATCCCCTGTATGTTTAGCAACATTCTTCCTGCAGTGACTCCAACATCAAGCACTTGCCCAACATACACAATATATTTCATAAGCATCAGCAGAGAAAATAAACCAGGAGAGAGGTGAATGAGTAGTGCAAGCCTTCACAGGCACTTGAAGTCAGAAAGTGAAACGTCTATGATACTGTTAGGCAAAGAAACGTTTGAACCTCTGACCAATCCTAAATCAGTATTCCTCTAAAAATGGATGAAAGGCTGGCAAGCCAAGCCAACCAAACACTTTTTGTTAGGAGAAACTTGTTTTCCACACATTTTTGTCACTCAAAGAAAAGAGGAAATATGTCACAGGGGATGATACAAGTCTCACAGCTCAGAGGCAAAGGTGACCACACTGCAACCTCTCATAACTGATATCTGTATTGAGTCAAGCTAATGATGTTCTGCCTCTTTATGATTAACAGTAACAAAGATGCTGAGGTTTTGTATACATGGAAAGACACTTAAAAGCATACAAAAAGTTACCCTATTCCTCTCCTCGGGGCAAGCTATCTAAGTTGCAAATAAGCTGCAAAAGTGAGATTTTATCTAAAGCACCAATTGGAGATCCAAAAAGATCAGTTTCTACATCATTTATTTAGTGGTTCTAGGCTAAAAGGCAGGACTACACTGGTAGGATGTGCTGCTATCAAGAAAATTTGAAAAATAATTTGTACAGAGAAAACCACTCAGAAAGATCTGGGTGTGCAGAAGTGGGAAGAACCAGAATGCAGCATCCTACACGACTTCCTTGTACAAACGACAGTCCTAAAAGTTAAAGCAGCAAAGGAAAATAAAGTTTGGGATGCATCAGTCAATTGGCAGCACTCACACACTGTCAGCGTAGGTGTCTTTCCCAAAAAGGCAAACAAGTTCTCATGCAGAAAGCAAAGAAGTTCCTAAAGCCAGAAAGTCCATAAAGCACTTCTGCAACAAAGATGACTGACTTCATGTTACAAAAACTGCAGAGAAGTGCTTATCAACTTTTGTTTCACTATATGCTGCTTCAGGACCGCCCAGAGTACTGGCAAAAAGAATAAAGACATGGAAGTAAATAAACATCAAACTGATTACTTTTAAAAATCAAAAACAGCTCACATCCAACACTCAGCCTAACATTTTGACTGCTGCCATTCTAAAAACTAAGTTATGCAAGTGGAGTTGGCCAACATATTTAAATATTTGACACCATGTCCCACACAAAATTAATTAAATTACAACCAATATAAGACCTAGAAGAGAGAGAAAGAAGTAAATCAAAGAGGAGATACAACAGCTCACACTTAAAGTGGAAATTACGGCAAGAGAGACGGGCAGCTCGCAGCATTCCTCCCAGCCCCATTCAATAAATTAGTAATTAAGGAGCAAGAACTGAGTGCGAGCTCGTGAAACGTCTGTGGATGACACCCGACTGCAAACTATCAGCAGTTAAAAGAGGCAGTTAATGAAGAGCTCCCGGTTTCTGTGAACTGGAGTGCTATAAAACGGAACAGGACGAGATGTGAAATCATGCACTAAGGGACCAGCAGCCTTTCTGTTCTGTAAGCTGAGAACTCGTCACGTGGGAGCAACACAGGAGCGAGGAACAGAGCAGTGAGCTATGGAAATCCCTGCCTAAGGACGCTGGACTTCATGTGAGCAAAAGAGGGGCTCGGCGTGCTCATGGGAAAAAGAGAAAAGCAGAGAAAATCCACGTGGCTCCAGGGCCTCTGAGAGGGGCAGCGTGCAGGGAAGCATCACTGCTGCAAAAGATGCTACGTCAGGTGAACCTCAAGTGGTACGGCTGAACGTTTTCCCATCCAAAACTGCTGTTGCTCTCACAGAAGTTCTTCTTGACTAAAGGATGGCAAAGTTTATTGGGCTGCTGCATAAAACACACACTCCCTTTGGTAACAAATGCTTCATTTTCTGAAGCAGCTCCAAAGCTGAAGAACGCTGTTAACACCAGTTAGGACAACGTACGAGCGTAGTTCAGAAAGCGAAAAGTTTTATAGCCGTCTGACACAAAAAGCCTCCCACACAAAGCAGCTGGGACCAAAGCGCCGCCGGGGCTTCTCCGCGTCAGCCATACAGGCACGGAGGGGCTCTTCAGCACGAGCCGCAGCCGCCCAGCCCCGCGCTGCCGCCCCTCACGCAAGCAAGCAGCGCCCTCAGGCCGGAGCGATGCGGCCGCCCGCCCCGCGCCCGCACACGCAGCGCCCACACAGCCGGCGCGGGGCCGGGAGCGCTCCACCTGCCGCGAGCCGCGCTCCTCACTACCAGGAAGGTAGGGGGAGGAAAAAACAAACAAACGCACGCACACAAAAAAAAGCCAAGCAACCAAGCAGCCGGCCGGGGGAAACCTGTTGCCGGCCGCTCCGAAGGAGCCGCCACAGCCCCGCGCTTTCCCCAACTTTCCCCATCCCGCGTCCCGCAGCCCTCCGCGCGGAGCGGCCCGCAGCCCCGCGCCGCAGCACTCACTCGATGAAGTAGCTGGCGCCCTCCTCCGAGAAGCCCTCCTCCCAGCCGCGGGGCAGGTCTGCGGGGACAGAGACACGGCGGGCGGTGAGCGCGCGGCCCGCGACCCTCGGGGCGGGGGAGGACGGGGGGGGAGGGGGGCGGGGGACGCGAGCACCCACCGGAGCGGATCATGTGTCCCGAGTTGACGGGCTCCCCGGTGCGCGGGTGCAGCCAGGTGGTGCTGCGGCTCAGGTCGCTGCGGGGGAGAGGCGGAAACGCGCACCTGTTAGCGGCGGGAAGCGGGCGGGCGCGCGGCCACCCCCCCGCCCCTTCTCCCGCCGTCCCCTTACTCGATGAAGAAGACGCGGCCGTCCCTGCAGACGCCGTAGGACCAGTGCTCAGGTAGCGCGTCCCGCCCCGCCGCCGCCGCCGCCATGTTCGCCGTGCGCGCGGCCGGCCGGCCGGCCGGGGAGGGGGTGTGCGGGCGGGCGGGCGGCCGGCGCTCGGCGCCCAGTGCCCGGCTCTGCTCCGCAGCGCCACCGCGGCCGCCGCCGGAGGCGCGGCGTCCCGGAGCGGGCGGGGGGCGACGCCTCCCGGCCTCGGGAGGCGGGCGGCGGGCCCGGGAGCCGGAGGCGGCCGCGGTCCTTTGTCCGCCGGCGGGAGAGGCGGCATCCCCGCGGGCGGCCGTGGCTGCGGCGCGTCCCGCCCCGCGCTGCCTCCCGGCGCTCGCCAGAAGGCGGCGGGACGGGAAGGGCAGGTGTGGGCTTCGCGCTGCGTCCCGGGATGCCTCCCGCCGATGGAAAAGCACGAGGGGGGGAAAAGGGGCTGAAAGCCGCGGGGAGGGTGCCAGCCCTCCAGCACTACGGCAGCTCCTGTCGGTCGTGCACCCGGCACACCGGGCACCGAGACGGGTGCGATGGGATGGGATGGATGGGAGAAATGGGATGGGAGAAATGGGATGGGGCCCTCTGTCCCTTCAGCCCCTTCTGGAGAGGATGATACCGTTCTAGGCCAGACGGTTCAGAATGCGCAGTACTTGAGACGCAATGCAGGATGCAACCAGAAAGTGGTTTGGTTGCACGTGGGCTCCAATTCTACCTTGGAAGGGATTTGGTGAAAGTCTGTCAGAGTCCTGCAGCTGCAGAACTGCCTCTAACTTCAACAGAACGACAACCTTGATGTTCCATCATCATGATGCTCTTCCTCAGCGTTTCCCTCTTCCAGCAATTCAGTTTGGGTTCATCCTCCTCGATGAAGGAGCCTTCCAACCCTTTGTCCTACGTCAGAATTTCATTCAAAACTTGTAAGCCCAAAACTTCTGTGCTGCTTTTCTTTGAAACGTTATCACTTTTGAGGCTCTCTGGCAAGGCTGAGATGAGAAGCAAGTTGTCACGTAACAAAGTACCCGCAGTAAGTTTGGTTCTTTTGCAACTACAGGAGTAAAACAAACACACATTTCAGAAGTGTCATTATGTGTTAAATCTGCCCAGAAGAACCTCCTGCTTTGACAGATGAACTTACCTTGGTGCCATGAAGCACTCTCTCATGCATAAACTCTTTTACTTAGCTGTTAACTCCATGGTGCATTGGCCACTGGATCACCAAGCAGCCTGTGGCAAAGTGATCCTAATGCTCATCTTACCTGAAGTGTGTATAGAGAATCACCTCCTTTTGTTTGCTTTGAACTTGGTTCCTATGTCACTCAGTTCTCACAATGAAAGAGTCGAACCTTCTTCAGGGTCAACACAGGTTATAGACCAAGTTTCTCAGGCCTTTGGGTAGGACCTGAACACCTCAAAAGACAGGAATTCTGCAGCCTGGCTTGGAAACTTATTCACCATGTTGTGATGAAAATGCTTTCCCTCGTATCAAACGAGAAGCTACCCTGTTTTAATTTATGATCCTTGACATATAACCAAATCTTGAGTTGATGCATCATTGTAGGCATATGTTGCAGGTACTTACACCTCTTAATTTCAGATATAGTGTTTAAAAGCCATGCTCTGTTATAGAAACTTGTAGAGTTCTAATCTAAATTTAAGATCAAGATGAGAATGTAATCTAAATTCAGACATTTACAGCCTAACTTTTGCTGCCTCATCATCAGGAGGCAGGTTTGTGATTTAGAGCAGTGGAGCAAGAATACCTCCAGGCATCATTCAGTAAGAAGATTACCAAATTCTTCTGGTTTTTGTTCCCCCCCCCCCCCTGCATATAGCTAATGCTCAAGCTCTGGTTCCAGTCCTTCCTGGCTGATCTCAGACACATTTATTTTCTGTTGCATCTCATTCATTCCTCTCACAGGGCGCTACCTGGAATAAGCTATGTGGGGTTAAATTGGGAGTTTCAGGCCATAATAGCAGGAACTTGGCTAAAAGAAGTGAAATATGCTGTTCAACAAATGAAGGGTCTAATAAAAGCTAAGAGTTTCCAGGCTTCCATTGTTGATAGTGGAAAGAGATTTGCCAAGGTCCCTGAATATTACTGCATGTTTGAACCCATGTTTGACAGCTTTATCTGAATGCATTCCTAGAGTTACTTGCTCTGTCAGCATCCCCAGGAAGCACTTTTTTGTATATATGACTTCCATTAAGTTTTTTTCTGCCTTGAGAGTGACATATTTTAAAACATACACTAAAATCTGTATGTAGACTTTGCTATTTCCAGAATAAAATCAAACAATAGAATACAAGCATCCTTTTATCTCATTCCTTTCTTTTCAGCCCTTTCCCTTATAATCCAGCTTTATTGATCGCCCTTTCAGAGCCAATATCCCAATCTAGTTTATGTTCTTGCCCATTTTTACATTATTCCCATCTGCTCCCACGTTTCCCTGCTCTTTTCAACCCTTCATATCCTATAACTTCTCAACTAAAGATGCAATAAGAATCTGGAAATAACACTGGAAACACTATGTAAGAATCTCTAACCAAAAAATCTGAAAGCATGATTAAGTCACAATTACAGCCAGTGTCTACGAAGCTACAGAATCATAGCTGGATTTCATGCTGCCATGTACTTTAATGATCTATTTCCTATTCTTCTGAGAATTGAATATAATTGAATTCAGTGGTCTCAGAGGTCAAAAGCTGCTGCTGTTTCGGGAAACTCTGATACTCAGAAAAGCCTGCTAGGAATGACTTTTTTTTTAAAGGACAAGCACAACCTATAAAAGGTGAGAGGCCAAAGGTGGAGCATTTGAGAAGCAGCGAGTCTGAATTAATAAATCTTGATTAAGAAAGCTCTTAAGCCATAGTTGTAAAATGTGTGCAGTGTGCCTTTCAGCATGATTTGTGAGCTCTGCTCAGCACAGCTGAGAATTAAAATGACAAAAAGTTTCATAGTGAGACATTAATTTGCAAGGCCATTTTGGAGCAGTTTGCCCAATTCTTTTTCTCATTACATTCAGAGGTTGTGTAACTGAATTGTTCTTCAAGATTGTGCAGTGAGATTCCCATCCAGCAGTGACAAGTGCTTAAGAGACCAGAAATCAAAACACAGTCTTACGGGCAGAAGGATATGTTAATCATACAATAGGGAAACATGACAGATCTCAGAGAATTAAGGGAAATCTGTCTTCCAGAAAAATCTCTGATGCTGTTTTGCCAAAACTGCAATGCTGTTTCAACTGAAGAAGGAATTTCACTGAGGAACAGCTATGGTTTATTCATTCAAATTAAGGAAATTTCAGTTTTCACTACTGAACTTTCAAAAGTGGAATGGGAAAAAATCATCTCAGATAACAGCACTAATAATCCCCAAATAGTACAATAGGAGATTTGCCTGTGCACTACATGATTGCCAGAGGTCCCTTCCAGCCCCTATGACTGTAATTTGAAAAAAAAATAAGATTTTTAGAGCCTGATTCTCTTGCAGTAGATTAAGAGGTTTCCCTAAATTTCCCTGGGACTAGTGTCAGCCAGAAGTACCAGGAGATAAATATATCTCATATAGAAAGATTAAACAATATCAAATCTATTACTGAGGGAATTCCAACGATGGGAAAAACAATTACTCATATTCCTGGGCAATGGAAAGAATATAAACAAATTCAAATTGTAAGCACAGTTCCTCTGAGAACGTTATGGAGCATGGCAGATACTGTGCAAGAGTATTATTCAGGCTCGCTCTATCGCTGTGCTGCATGGTCTGACTGATGACTGCACAGAAGGATCAGCTGAGGCTGTAACGCTGCAAGCAAGACAGATGGGAAAATGACATTGAGAAGGCAACGCTCGTGCTGCATAACAAATCCACGCTTCTCCTTCCAAAACGTGCTGAACTCTCCAAGGAGTAAGAAAAATGGTAATTGTCCTCAGTTAAAAGGTTTTCTATTCCAAAGCACTGTCAGTATTTAGAATTGCATTTGTGCTAAAAGCACCTCTGTGGAATCCAGGAGGTATCTTCAAAACAATTTTACCTGTTTGTGTTTCCTGTACAAGACTTCTTCATTTGTAAAGACATCCAGCTGATTTACTTTTTAGATGCTAATATTTGAATATATCCAATTATCTCGCTTACCTGAATATCCCATGGCCCAGAAGATTTATATTTCAGGAACCAAGCTGAGCTTGTCCCCTAAAATGCACAAAAATGCATGTGAAAGCAAAAATGAATGAATACATTTCCTAATGACTCTGCCAATTTACAATTTACAATTTCCTGTCACACCAGCTTTTATGATTACTATATTTAACGCACTTTTATCAGTTCTTCTCTTCATTTTCCCTCTATTTCATTTCCTAAAGTCCCAATAATTTACATACCTCGTGCCTGAAATTCTTCAACTAAAATATATTTGGTAATCAATAATTAAACTAAAGAAGAAACAGTCACAATTTTGTCATTGTACACATAGTTCCAAAATAACATCAGTGACTGTAGTGATCTGACTGCACAGCGTTCAATTTATTTGTAGAAGAGAAAAATGCATGAAGAATGCAGAAGAGCAATTGCATGCCAAAGTACAGGGTCATTTACAGAAATGTAAGCAAAGCTTCTATAAGGACGAGTCGAGGGTCTTTTTCATATTTTTTTGGCAAAGGATGCTGCATGTCTGGCAACCCTGAGAAGCCCTCAGTTCAATATTTATACATCTGCGACTGTCAGCATTTGGTTCATTTCAAAGCAGACACCTCAAGTGTGTCATCACACAGCCATGGGCACTTGCGTGGGAAGAGGAGATGCTTTTGTAAGAAAAGGAACAAACTCAAAGTTAGATGTCTCTAGGTGACCTTCTGAGACTAACAACTTACAGTTTTGAATCCTGCTATTGAATTCACAGAGGTTTTCTCAATGACCAAGCAGTTCTCCCTCCTTCCTCCAACGTGAGGCACATCTCAGCCAAAGTTTTTTCCCCAGCTTCAAGCCCACTGTTCTGCATAATCACTCATGGCTGATGTTACCCTTTTCCAGCACCTCTGGCTATGGTCATTAC